ATTTTAATTTTATTTTTATTTAATATGAAATGCTTCTTATCAGAGTTCAGCCTACGAGTACAGTGAACACTCTTCGTAATATTGTTGTGGCTCTCTGAATTATGCAATCCAATCACAGATTTTCCAAGCACCCAAGCATCCATAGGAAGTCGCAATTATGTGGAGCACCAAAACCCATGCGGAGACACTCGATAAATATTCATGAGCAAGCAACAAAGTGGCTCCAAATGGGATTGCAATCAGAGCCAAGCGAGAGCTACCGTTCTAGAGCCAGAATGGCGACTTCATTAGGCCCAAGAGCGAGCCCGAGCCCGAGCCCGAGACCCTTCTGGCGACTAATTGAGACATAAATTGAAATAACAACAAAAAAATAAAAAAGGTAACGCAACGGAGTTTAGCCCGGAAAACACTTTCCATTTGGGCTGCCACCGGACCGGACCGAACCGAACCGGACCGGACCGGACTGTATCGTTGCCATGTTTGGGAGACGCACATTTCCAGGGCAGGGCAGGGGAAGGGAAGGTAACAACAAGTCAAGTCAAGTCAGAGAGACAAAAATATTCAATTTCCAGCAGCGCGCAACACGAACAAAAGACTTGAGACACGAACTCGCACAGTTCGAACTTGCCACAGCTCGCAAAGTGAGCAACAAGCAGCAAGCAACAAGAAATGGTAACAGTTTAAGAGGTTCATTGAACATGGACAGACAGCCAAACCGAAAACCAAAAACCAAAAACCAAAAACCACCAATGAACAACTTTCGAATGCCCTGACATGATGTTGCTGTCGTTGCTGTTTGTACAATTACCGAAACAAGATTGAAGACGGGCCCGCTCGGACGGGCCTGCGACATGCGGGTGTACCACAATTATAATCATGAGTGTACGTGCGGGGTGTGCACGAGCATAGCCGCCTTTTTGGCCCTGAAACAACACAGCAACAGCCGCTGACCATAAGATGCTGACCAAAAAAATTCACACAGAGCGACAGGCAGACAGGCAGACAGACACATCATGATCAAGACATTGCCCGGACACAATTACCGAATTTAAATATATTTTTGTCGTCTTTTTTTGTTGGCACAACAATTACCAATAGCCACAATGTCGCGGGGTACAGTGGCACATAATCTATCAAAAAAGAATCCCATCCAAAGATGCTTTGAAGATATTGAAAACAAAATAAAAATTGGCTTTTAATTTAGAAAAGAAAACTGCCCTCAAAGTGCAAATCTAAGCCGAGTGTTGGCAAGAGCAAAAAGTTAAGAATTTATTTTAACTTTTTATGGGACATTTTCCATAGGCTTTTCCCTCTGGCGTCTCTTGGGATTGTGAGGATTTGTTATGCATTCATTTGTACTCCTTTTTGTTGATTTTAAGCTGAATACAAATTAACATCAATGGATCCTCATTAGCCAATCGTTGGGACTTGTATGTCCATCCTCAAAGTGAGTATCTTCCCCTCATTAGGCAGTTGTGTGGCGTCCGCTTGGAGTTGGCTTTAATGCAGTTTGCTGCCGTGGCTGGGGAGGGGGGGGTCTCTAATTGAGACACAATCAATCACCAGACAACCAAAATCGATTCGATTCGAATTGGATTGATTGGTTAGGAGTGGATTGGATTGGATTCGAATGGAAATGGAATGGAATGGGCTTGTCTGGAGCTACACTTCCGTTTGCTCGATTCATGTTGCATTTTCAATTAGTCCGCTCGCCGCTTTGTATTTACACGGCATTTACATCCACATTTAAATTTACATACATTTCCGTGGTTAGCTCTGAACTGTGAGCTAAATTCAGACTTGGACGAGACCTAGAAATCACACTCGGACCCCAAGATCGAGCCACAAAAAGGTGAAAGCAGCCAGCGTCGGCAAGATTAGAAATTCTCTTTTATATTTTTGTTTGTTTTGTTTTGTTTCTTTTTTGTTCGTTGGTAATCGTAATGGTTATTGCTATTGCTATTGCTGGGGCTGCGGCTGTGGCTGCGGCTGGGGGCCAAAAGAATGCCCATTTCCTGTACCTTCGGTCTACACCAAATTTTTGGCGGCTCTTTGGCAATTTTCCAACTTCTATATCAATTTCTATTTGGTGTGTACTCATTTGTACGAGTGTTTTCTTTGCTCTGCTGCAGAATAATAATCAAAAACTGAGCACTCTCCGCTCCGCCCAGTCCAAACGGGGGCAGTGCAATTTATTTCCACAAATCAATTTCATGGGCACTCTCTCTCTCTCTCTCTCTGTGGATTTATCAGCAAAAGTTTTAGATTTAATCATTGAATTTCTTTGATCCACTCTGGCACATATTTGGCCAGCTTCTGGGCTCTACTGCTGCTGCTGCTGCTACTGCTGCTGCTCCACATGCCACATTCGGATGGAATTTCGGCGGTGAAACTGAGCACCACACACTTGTTGCATGCTGCCCGAGGCTGCGTTTCCCGCACCGTTTCCCTGCTGGTTCTGGTGTGCGTGTGGCCTGGGAAAAACGAAGTCTGAATGGAGTCAAGACATTGATGTGTGGTCTCTCTCTCTTTGTGCTGTGGGGCCCATTAGCCAGCATTTTGGCCGAGAGCCACCCACAGAAAGCAGCATTAAAAAGAGCTAAGCGTAGATTAGGGACCACCCTGGGAGGGAGAGAGGTAGAGAGAGGCAGGGAGGGAGGGAGGGCAAAAGGGATTCGCGCTAAGATGCTTATGGGAATGTGTTCGAGGGAAATCCAAATGATTAATGAGGATGTCGTTTCTGTCGTTTCTGTTGTGTCTCCCAAGCTAGATGAATGATGTTTGCTGCCGATCGGATCAGATCGGATGTGGGCTCCAGAGCCATCCACACAACCATTCATCGATGGAGCGATGGAATCCAGCGATCGATTGCCATGACAGGCAATTGGATTCAATTAGCCAATTACGCATGCCAATTGCCCAGCCACTGACATTTCTAATTATATATATAAGCGATGGATGCCATAATTTCCACCAATTTCCACCAAGTGCAGCGCAAGTGGAGCACGGAAGTTGCACAAGAGCCTGCGTTCTAGCCGTGATTACGACGAGTGACGAGTGCCAAGACCAGTCCATCCATTGTCAGCACTGCTGGCCAATGGCCAATGGCCAATTGCTAATTTGCAGTTGTCTCAATCAAAACGGAAGTTGGCCATAGGTGGGTACGGGTGACGGGTACGGTTACGGCTACGGCTAGCATGGGGACAGCACTTTAAGCCCAGAGCTTTGCATCCCAGTCGGATGTTGTGTTGCTCCTCCTCCCTGCTGGCCAGCCCCCCAACACGCCTCTGCGCAGCTTCCGTTTTGGCGCCACACAATGCAAGAAGGAAGTGATCTTCCCCTCTAATTGATTGATTGCTCAAATGGCCCCCTTCGGGTCGCAGGCAGCGAAGAAGAGAAGCCTTCTCAAAGCTTGATTTTCAGGCTAGCTTTTGAGGGAGACATCTGCATATGGGGCAGGAGAATGGTGGGGCACTTACAGGGGAACTAGAAGATGTATTGAAGGTTTGATTTTATTTGATGAATGATCATTGTTTTTTTTTATTTTTTATAGATTAAAGCAGCATTTTTTGTATATTTTTGAACAGAAAGAAAGTTGTACCCACATTTTGTGTGTGTGTTTCGAAAGTTTCAGATATTGCCCACAGCAAAGAGAGGGTTGGGTGGGGCAGGGGCAGGGTACCGTAACTCATTTACAGGGTAACAGCAAACGCCTACCCAACCCCAGCTCTGGAACTGCACTTCCAGCCAGCATTCAATCATTTATGCGGCCAAACGAATTTGTCTAGCTTCAGGCCTCGCCCCGGCCACTTTCCCATTTCACGTCACAAGGGGGCGCAACCCTGTGGCCTCAATTCGCGTGCATTAAGATTGGCTGAGAGGCTTCAGCTTCAGCTTCTGGCTAAGCTGGGAAAAATCACTTACAAATTGATTTTGGTCTCGCCAATGCTGTGGCCTGTGGCTGGAACTTGGACTTGGCCTGCAGGCGATCTGGCAACTCGGCGACAAAACTGTTTCAACTGTTGCGTAATGCGATCGGTGGTCAGCGCCCCAAGAGCAGAGCAGAGGCAGAGGCAGAGCCATGCCATGCCACACCACAATGCCGCCTGGAAGAGTTCTTGATGCAAAATTTGTTTGCTGCTTTGATTTTTGCTTTCCTTCTGCCAGTCCTCCTCTTTGGCGAATTCTCTTTCTCGTTCGCTTCTCGTTTGCGGTCGCTGAGTAGCGGTACTTTGTTGTAGGCGGCTGTCTGCTGATCGTCACCGTCGAGTGGAGTGGCCCTCGGAAGACCCAAAAGTGTGCAGAATTCGTAGCTTTCTTCGCTTTGGCAATTCTCATACCTCGGGGCATTTGTCGAGCATTGTTCTAAGAAGACACAGCCGATGCGCATGTAAATTTATATTAATTGCAAGTATTTATTGCAATATCTACTTTCGGATAGCGCCAACATTTGATCGATTATTGGGCGCATATAAACATTTATTGATCAGTGCAAAATGTGTCGTAAAACACTGAAATATGCCATAAACTTTTAGCAATTGCAGAAATATGAAATATGATTCATATTCGCATTTGCTTGGCTCATGCTCCAGAGTTCATTGATATTCTCATATTTTACGATCCCGAATATAGAGGCTCGTTGGTCTAGTGGTATGATTCTCGCTTCGGGTGCGAGAGGTCCCGGGTTCAACTCCCGGACGAGCCCGAAGGCATAACTAAGTTCTTTTTTGTTTTTCGTTTATTTTTTTTTATATTTTTAATCAGAAGCCAAAGATAGTTGGGTCTGGTCTGACGCGCGATCGTTATCGCCTGGGTTTAACTGTTCTTACAACAATTTTGGCTCAGCCAACGGGAACACTCGCTCTCTGAGTCACTCGTCACCGTCAGCCGACCTGGCGCACAGGAAGAGCGTGTGAACCACGCATAATCGAGATCGAGGAAGTGACTCACACACTGCGCAGAGAGTGCGCTGAGAGCGGCGGGGGCTGCCAAGGGGAACAATGGAAAGTGAATCCAGAGTTCCCTCTCCTTGCGCGCAACACTGAAAATTGAACAACTCATTCGGCAAAGCAGTCAGATAAGGCTCGGCCGGGCTGGATTTGGTTGAGTTACTGTGGAGAAGAATGTCAGAATTTGCAGCCCCTGACTGATGAGGTACTGAACTGTCGCAGCGAGCTCCGGGCGTTGAGCTGGGACGGCTTCCTGCGCCGCTTGTGGGGCAAAAGCCCCCCAAACCTTTGAGACGCATCTGACCATCGAATGGCGACAGCAGTACCTGCGATATACGGTGAGCGGCAGTTCCAGTTCAATGGGGAACCCAACCCAACCGAATCTCAATCCCCCAATCCGCCAATCCCCAATGCCGTACAACTGCAGGCTCTGAAGGCAATGATCAGGCAGGGTGTGGACGGTGGCCGCATCTCGGAACCGCATCGCACAAATACGGCGTCGAGAGCTACTACAAGGCCTTCGAGGAGGCCTTCTGCACCGAGTGCCACAACGAGCTGGATCGCGTCAACAACTTCTTCATGGAGAAGCTGGCGGAGGCGCGTGCATGCCACCCTCAAGCTGCAGCTGCTGGCATCCGCCCGGGTGCCCGGGCATACGTCCAGTGCCATAGCGCTGAACTCACAGCGAACAGCGGCGGCGGAGCAGCAGACGCGGCCGGATCCGGTCAATACGTCGGGCAGCCGTAAGTTGATGACCCAGCGGCAGCTGCGCACCGTCTACAGCGAGTTCTACCTCAGCCTGGTGCTGCTCCAGAATTTTCAGTCGCTCAACGAGACGGGCAAGCTTCCGCAAGATCTGTAAGAAGTACGCCAAGTATCTGGAGTCCAACTCCGGCGCGGACTGGTTCGAGCGGCACATAGCGCAGGCAAACCTTTTGGCCATTATGAGCCTGTACCGGGGGGACCCTTCACCTGGGTCATCTTCAACTTCTTTATGGCCGCCAATGTGACGGGGTGGCAGCGGTCGGGCGTCAACCATGTGCTGATATTCGACATGGATCCGCGCAGCCACCTGCAGCCGGCCACCTTCCTGGAGATCGCCTGCACCCTCGGCATACTGTGGACGCTCTCGATGCTGGGCTACCTCTGCCATGTACCGCTGCATCCGCTGGCCCTGATCCTCATCATGCTGCTGCTGCTGCTGCTGGTGATACCGCCTGCCGATCATGAACTGGCCGGCACGCTGGCACGCTGGCACGCTGGACGATGCGACTGATGACTGCGCCGCTGCACTACGTGGGCTTCGCCGACTTCTGGATGGGCGATCAGCTGAACTCGCTGCTCACCTGCCTCGTCGATCACTACTACATTGTGCGCTTCTACACCACCTGCTGGCTGCGGTAGGGGGCGGTGCCGCCGTACCTCACCACCGATCTGATGGTGCCGTTCATGCGCTGCCTGCCCGCCTGCGCCGATTCCGGGACAGCGGCTCCAAGTCCGTCACCTATCTGCTCAATGCCGGGAAGTACTCGACGACATTCTGCGTGGTGCTCTTCTCCACGCTGCGCAATCGAACGGATGGTACGAGCCTCGTCCCCCACCGGTTCCCACTCACATTAGCCCCATTCTCGCCTCCCCTCCCTTCCATAGATGTCCATAATCCGTACACGGATCTATGGCCGCCTCCATAGTGTCCACCGTGTACTGCTATTTGTGGGACGTGATCAAGGACTTTGGCCTGTTCCGCATCCGCAAGGGGGAGTCCGCAGTCCTTCTACTGCTGAATCTGCTGCTGCGCTGCTTCTGGGTGATCGAGTTCACGTTCTACTGCCACAACCTGATGACGCCCCACAAGGCCAGAGCTCTGGCCAGTCTCCTGGAGATCACGCGGTGAGGTGAGTGAGGGCGGCGGCTCTTGCCACTGTACAACACTGTACCCTGCCCATGTCGATCCATCCAGCAGGCGCTTCATCTGGAACTACGTGCGATTGGAGAATCTGGAGAGTATCTGTACAACTGCGGCAAGTTTCGTGCCACATCGATCTGGCGGCGCTCAAGCCGCGGCAGGAGCGCAGGCTCGAGGACATGATGGACGAGTCGGACAGGGTGACCAATCGCAGCGCACGCGACCCGGCAAGGAGTACTTCTGGGTTATGGCTATGTGGCCACAGCTGCCACGCACTGTCATGCCATCTCTCGCCCTCTCCTGCTCACTCTCTCAGTCGCAGCTGTGTCCGTTAATGCTAATGGCCCTCTGCATCTCCGTCATCATCTTTAATTAATTCGTTTGTGCAAAAATAAGCAAGGAAAAGAGACACAGACAGAAACAGAGAAGAGGACTGAAGCAAGCTCAGTGAGCGAGGAAGAGAGGGAGAGAGGGAGCTTGAGGATCGTATCGGATCGGAACTGAGTTGGGCACGCGCCAAACCGGTCCACCAGCTGCACCCAAAAGCAGCCTCGATCTGCCTCAGCAGCCGCCTGCTCGATCTGTTCTGCCTGTCTCCTGGTCAAGTCAAGTAACAATTGTCATTGCATGCGAATCAGGCACATGGCGTTGCAGTTGCAGTTGCTGTTGGCGGTGAAGATCCTCCTCATTCTCCCGTTCTGCCGATCACGGATCCCCTGCCCGGAACATGCAGCTGGCGCTGCTGCTGCTGCTGCTGCTTCTGCTTGTGGGACAATCTTTTAATTGACTCGCATTGAGCTTTGATTAGTGAAGTAATTAGTGAAGCGATCGCAGCGGAGTGCTGTGGGGAGAAACCTCTCTGCTGCTGGCTGGGGCGAAAGCATTCCGCGTACCTGGAGAAAGGCAAACGGAACGCTCCGTTCCGCTTCTCTTCTCGATATTTTTTGTGGCAATCAACTTTTATCAATCACCATCAGATCGGTGGTGAGGTACGGCGGCACCGCCCCCTCCCGCAACCAGTAGGTGGTGTACAAGCGCACAATGTAGTAGTGATCGACGAGGCAGGTGAGCAGCGAGTTCAGCTGATCGCCCATCCAGAAGTCGGCGAAGCCCACGTAGTGCAGCGGCGCCGTCATCAGTCGCATCGTCCAGCGTGCCAGCGTGCCAGCGTGCCGACCAGTTCATGATCGGCAGGCGGTATCACCAGCAGCAGCAGCAGCAGCATTATGAGGATCAGGGCCAGCGGATGCAACGGTACGTGGCAGAGGTAGCCCAGCATCGAGAGCGTCCACAGTATGCCGAAGGTGCAGGCGATCTCCAGGAAGGCCGCCTTCCTGGCTGCAGGTGGCTGCGCGGATCAATGTCGAATATCAGCACATGGTTGACGCCCGACCGCTGCCACCCCGTCACATTGGCGGCCATAAAGAAGTTGAAGATGACCCAGGTGAAGGGGTCCCCCCGGTACAGGCTCATTTGTTCTACGAATATATGCCATACAAAGTCGAATTTTCACTGATGTTACCTTGTGGCCCCCAGATGCTTTCCTCTCCATTTACTTTGTGTATAAAGTTATCGAATTCATTCCAGGGTCTTAGCCAAAAAATGTATTCATCGCAAGCCAGAAAGAAGCCTCTCAAATGAGGCTCAATATGTCGATCAGATCTTTACGCAGACTAGACCAGACACTTCATTCCCCCGAATTCTTAGCAGGGATTATTTTGGTTGGCAGCCCAACGAAATCTTTTCACTCAGCTGATCCTAGCTGAATGACTGGACTTATCCCTGCTTCATTTGTGTGAGTGAATCGAAACCCTTGGAAGGCCTGCCGCTTGTGCATTCGAGCATTATCGCATTAGTCCGGAATCGGATTAGCAATTGTCCCAAGAATGACTCCCAAAGAGAACTCCTGCTGTGCCGTCTCTTGTGATTTGATCATTCACCGCAGGCGCAGGAAAGTTGGTGACTGACTAGGCGGAGGGGGGGGGACTGGGGGGATGGGCAATCAGTCTGCATCATTGTTTATGACGATGACGATGACGATGACTGCGCAAGCCAGGAGAGCCTGGCCAGTTATCCAGTTAACTTATCTCTCACTCGAGTTAAGTTTTTCAGTGGCCAGCTTGCCAGCTTGGGCACGAGTCAAACATAAATTTGCCATTGACTCCTTAATGTTGCTGTTGCTGTTGCTGCTGCTGCTGTTGCGGGTAATGACAACTGCAATTTATGCGACAAGAGACGCCGGGCCACAACGCTTTAGTGCAAGAGAGAGGGGCAGCGAAAGAGAGAGGCTAGGACAGCAGGAGAAAGGCAGAGAATGAGCCTGTTGCTATTATTAATTGCCGCTGCCATCGATGCTGCTGCTGCTGCTGCTGCTGCTGCTGTGTCAATTAAGCTGCAACATGAGTCGAGTGCAGTGCAATATGCGGCGGCTCCATGTCCTCTGTCCGCAGATTGTGGCCGATGTGGCCGATCTTGGTACAGTTGCACACGCGCCAAAACCAGACCAAATAGACAAAAACAAGCAAACAACAAAAAGGCGAAGCGAAAAAGCAAACAAGCAAAGCGAAGAACAGCCCAGTGGAGGGAGCCCAACCCAAGCCAAGTCGAATGAACAAACAAACAAACAAATCCCAATACGATACCGATACCAGCCAAATCGAGTCCCGTCTTGGCCATAAGGCGCGTCTGACTGGCAACTGGCAACTGGCCAAACAAGGCCCAAACTGCTTCGGGCTTCGGGCGCAGTTGTGCCAACGAGGGTTGCCTCTTGACTTCCCCAACGAACTAAAGGAGCATAAAAGTTGCAGGCAAAATGCACTAAAGTAAATTTTAATAAATAAAAAAGCAAATTAATTTAATACAACAACAAAATTGAACAAAAAAATACGTCCAGAATTGGCAGGGACTGGCAACAGCCAAAGAAAACAATCTAAAAATGAATTGAAAAATGCTTGCAGGCACAAATAGCCTCAACACAGAACTTAAAGATTTTCCACTTTCCACGGCTAAGTGTGTGAAAATAGAAGGCTTGTGCGGCAGGGTTGCCCTATGGGTGAGGTAACCCTCAGTGGCCAGTGGCCAGTGGCCAGTGTCCATATAGATAGCTTTATGTTGTGTCTGTTGGGGCTGCTGTTGTGCTCTTGCTGTGTGGAAAATGGCGCGTAAACAGCGAAATACAGCAAAGGAACAGGCAAAGGAAAAGTAAAGGAACAGCAGAGGAACAGAAGAGGAACAGCAGAGGAAAGGCTTGCCACAGATACCGAAACTTAAGCTATACTTTCGGATGCAACGTTAATGCGATACAGCAAATATATTTTAGCTTAAATAATTGTCACAAAATACATGCCCTGTGGCAAGACCAGGGCAAGGGTCTGATCTGGTCTGCAGAGGAATGACTGTACGGACCAGCCAACTCTAAGCGTTGCATGAAAAACAAAGCACCCTGTGAGAGGGTATCAGAACAGCAAGCAACAACAGACAGCAAACAACAACAAGTAAAAAGGAGGGAAAGACCAGCGTACAAAGTCCAAGAGAATATATTTCGGACTTGGCCGATGGCTCAGCGCAGCGCAGCGCTCAGCTCAGTCAGTGGCCCTTTCTGAGCCAGCTAGCTGAGCTTGATGTCTTTTTGCCAGGCTCGTGCTAAATTTAGCCAAGGAGCTGCAGCTCAGGATCTGGGCTGGGGGCACTTGGATTCGGAGTTGCAGTTGGACATGGAAGTGCAGTTGCAGTTGCAGGGGCAAGACAAACAACAAAACAGCAAAACAGAAAACAGCAAACAGAAAACAGCAAACCAGTTTTATTCGAGTTGGCTCCTTTTCCTGGTTTCATGTTTTGTGAGCCGCGCGCAATGATCCCTGCTGCTTGCCACCACCCCCCCTCGTGCTCGTGCCCCGTACCCCTTTTATGGAACAGCACGCGCCTGTCCCTGCCCCTGCCCCTGCTCCTGCCTCACCGCTGCTGCGCCCCTTGGGAGCTTTATCGCAAACTCCTTGGCCCGCAGTGGGGATTTGGCCTGACGCGGCTCATAAATTTATGTGGCAGCCTTTTGATTGCCTTTCTGCTGCCTGTTTTTTTTTTTCATTCCATTTCTCTATTCCCTCCCTCTCTCTGCCACTCTTTTGCTGTACCCTTTCTCTTGCTCTGTCTCTGTCTCTTCACTCTTTTGAGCCTGTTAATTTGTGCACATAAATTGGCTGGCAGCCAAGTTCTCAGCCAGTTCCCCAGTGCTCCCCCCCCCAGCCTCGATCCACGGCTCGTATCAGCTTTTGAAAGTTTTTCTCCTTGCCAGGCAGCTGCCCCCTTTTTGGGGTTCCTCGCTCGGGTCTTCAGTTTTTCAGTCTTGAGTTTTTAGTTTTCAGTTTCAGCTGCCAAGTATTTCGGTGGATCGCTCCTGCAAAGGCAGATGGAAACCAAAGGGACAGGCAACAGACCAATACGTTGGGGCTTCTTGGAATGAGTTGAAAGCCTTTCGATGGTCCTCTGAAGGTCTTTGAGTAGCTAGCCTGGGCCTGGGCTTGGGCCTGGGCCTGGGCTTTCTCGAGAATCAAATATCTTGGGTTGGCCCCGGGGCCCTGCGAATCGAATCGCAATTGGCAGATTGGCCAGCTGATTTATGTAGATCAACTTAGCCAATGTTGGGCAATGCTTTGGGCGACCTTCTCCCGCCCCCCGCTGCCACTGCTCGCAGTTCCAGCCACCGCATAATGAGCTGTGTGTTTGGCTGTTAGGTGCACCCGTTGCAGCAGCAGCATGAGGCATAGAAAATTGCAAATTATCAGCTACGAATTGTTCACAAGCCCCTGGGAGGGGTGAGCTCTGCGGAGGGAACACTCTAACCAGCGACAAGTGCAGCAGCAGCAGCAGCTGCCGATTATGCATTTCAATTTAATAAGCTAATCAAAATGGTGGAATGCAACTGCCAATTTGCTGGCTCTATGCTTTGAACCAACGAATTATGATAATTGTCAGTCAGTCAGTCAGCATTGGCGTTGCATCGCCACAAATCCTTCAAAATGCTAAAAAATATTCAGCCCCAAACAAAACACTTTTCTTTGCTTGAAGGCAATTCGTGGCGGAGATGGGTAGAAGGTTCAGGAAGGGGGCGGTAGAAGGGAGATATTGTTGCCGATGTGCCCTAAAGGTTCAGAGGTGGAGAAGCAAACACTAAGCGGACCAGCCCGCGCTTCTCTTTTGCTTAATGATAAGCTCCACGGATTCTCATCTGCAGCTTCATCTCCACCATTAGCTCCGTCCTGCTCTTCTGGGCTTCACTTGGCTTGGCTTGGCTTGGCTTCTGTGGCTTTTGGCGCGAAATTCTCCTGACCGCCGCGAGTGCCACATAAACAATGATTTTGGAAAGGGAAGCAGGAGAATATGAGGCTGGCAGCCCAGTGGAGAAACTGGCCCCCAAAACAAAAGCCGCGCCAATGCAGCTAATGGGCCATGAAAAAAATGAAACAACAACTATGAAATCCCCAATAAGAAGATAAAGCAGAGGAAGATGCGAACGAAGAGGCGAAGAAGAAGCTGATGAAAAGGCATAAAATGAAAACGAAGCAGCAGCAGCAGCAGCAGCAGCCTCCAGGTCTCCACAGTGGGCCCCCATCACGACCATTGTGGCAGCAGCAGAAGAACCCAACAACAACAACAACAAACACATCATGATCTGCCCCCGCTCTACCTGTATCCCCCCACACCCCTACCCCTTCTTAGCTTCTCCAACATCCCACTTTGGCAACCTCAATAACAATATTCTGTTGTTGTTGTTGCTTTTGGCGTTTCTCTTGATTTTCTACCTTTTTGGCTGCTGTTGCACGTTGATTTTGGAACAGCGACAACAGTGGAGTAGAGTGGAATGGAGTGGAGCAAAACTCGTTAAGTTAAGTCTGTAAACGTGTTTTTGTTCGTTTCGCTTTTGTACCTTTTTTCTCATTTACGTACGAGTCGAGTAACGCTGCTGCTTCGTTTTCTATGCTGATCTTAACGGCCGCCATTTTGTTTCGAAGCGTCTGTCTGGGCAAGCAGTGCTGGGAGATTTCTGGTTTGACTCAAGCAGCGACTTCGAAGCTTCAAGCTCTCACAGACATGTTCGAATTGGGCTCGAAAGAGAGCGCGAGCGAGCCGACCGACTTGTTTGAGAGAGTAACATTGTGATCGAAAAATGTCTGTATTTTTTATGTGCGCTGAATGGAGTTTGGCGGTCATTTTGAAAAGTATATTAATGATTAAATAATATACCGTTAATATACTGACGGACACGACCAGATTCGTTGATATTCCTCGATTTTAATATTCGGTTTAATATTAATGCTAGTTTTCAGAACTCCTTTGCATTGGATTGTTTACATGGGAGGGTTCAAACAAAAACGGCAGCATGCTGTTATGACATTGGCAACATGTTAAGTTGTGGGCAGCATGTTAAGTTGTGGGCAGCATGTTAAGTTGTTGGCAGCATGATTTTAATAAATTGGCAACATGTCTGTAATAAATTGGCAACATGTTAAGCTGCTGACAGCATGCTGTTACGAAATTGGCAACATGTTAAGTTGCTAGCAGCATGCTGCTAGTACTGTGGCAACAGTTTGATGTTGCCAGCAACATGTTCTTAGATTCGATAGCTGCGTTATTACCGCTCAGTCGACGCCGTTGCGCAGTCGCCGTTGCCGTTGCCATCGCAGATCAAAAATTAAATTAAAAAAAAAGAAAAAATCAATTTTTTTTGTGTGTGTAAAAACTGTGCATAAAACTATTCGAAACAAAAGCTACAATCAAACAAACTAACAAACTAAGAGCCCATTCGTGTCTGTGTGTGTGTGCTTATTTTTGTATGTCTCTATGTTTGCGTGACATTAAAAGCAAGAAAACTCCAAAAAAAAAAAAAACTCAAGCTTTTCCTCAAGCTGAGCGAACATCAAACACCTTCGAATACACACAAAAACAACAGCAACAACAGCAACAAAAACAGCAACAACAGCAACAAAAAGTTTAGTTAAGTGAACGCAAACAGGTGCAAAACGAAGCACGAGAAGAAGAACCAAAAAAAGTGTAAGAGCTGGAAGAGAGAAGAACCAGAAGTGGAGGAAAACAACAACAGCAAAAAAAAAATAGAAGCAGCAGCAGCAGTTGCCCAAGAAGTGGAAGCAAAAGGGTTGTCGATACTCGCAACACTTCCCTTTCGGGCTTCCTCTGGCGGAAGTTGCAAGTGGCAACAACAGCAACAACAGCAACAACAGCAACAACAACAACAACAACAACCATGTGCTGATCTCAAAGCGCGGGGAATAGCCTTACTGTTCGGTTGCCAAAACTCATTCAATATGGATACGGTGGCCATTAAGACAGCACTGCCGCATGCCCCATTGGCTGCCCAACAGCAGCAGCAGCAACAGCAACAGCAGCAGCAGCAACCACAGAATGCCCAAACAGCAACAATCAATGCCAAAAACAACATTGGGGCATTTTTTCAGACCTGCAAGGTAAGAACCAAGCCAGAACCACGAACCGAACGCATCAAAGGTCAGCGGGGTTCAAGCTCTCTGCAACTACCACAGTAACTACAACTACGACTGCGAGTAAGCCATCAGAATGGCCATAAAATCATTTTACCGAATCACTTGAACTGTCAACTGCGGCAACGGCAA